CTTATTAGATAATTTTGTTTAAAAGTGTAAAGACTTTAGAAATAATGAGCAATGGAAAATAAAATAGGGTCTGGTGTTTACTATAATTTAGATTTCATCTAATTGTTATTCAGATTTTATAATTATTTTTTGTTAGAAAGTTTTAATCTAATTATGGATTCAAGAAAAAGATTAAAGAGTTAGAAATGTTTTAAAAAATTAACACATGTTAAGATTGTAGATGTAGATTTTGTAAAAGGATTGGTCTACATAACATGATATAATTGCAGGTAAAATGTAGGAGATGTTGAGGAGAATTGATGAATTGCAAGAATAGGCTTCTCATGAGGCTAATCTGAAAAAAAGAGATCTATATTTGAAAGAACTTGATGAAACAACAAATCAGTTAGATTAAGAGATCGAAAATATTAGTGATATGGGCTAATAACTGAGACTGTTAACTGATTTTGCTAACCATATTAGAAAAGGCTTGATCAGAGTAGAAGCAAAAATCAATGAAATGAAGGAATAACTCAAAAGCATGGGTAACGATATTAAATTTTTGAGAGGAAAATCTGTTGAGTAACTATTTGAAATTAGAAAATGGAAAGTACTGAAAGAAACAGCATTTAAGAATGTTAAATCAATTTACTTACCATTATAAACTAAGGAGATATATCATAAAGTTGTTGAAGGTGAAAAGAATAAAGAACAATTAAGTATTTTAATAAATTTAGAATAAATTAATGATAAAGAAGGAGAAGTGAATGAGTTTTTAATAGATGACAAGGAAAAAGTATTATTAATTCATGGGGTTGCTGGGTCAGGCAAAAGTACGACAGCAAAGAAAATAGAAGAATTTATTTGGAAATTACATGACAATAATTAAAAAATTAGTAATAAAGTACTCATCCCTATTTATATCTCATTACCTTCTTTGAAGAATCCTGTTTTTCAAGCAGTAGAGGAAGCACTTCATCAAGTTGAGTACGGTTTTGATGAGCTTTAATTAAAAGAATTAAAAGAGATGTTAGAAAAAAAAGAATTCAGATTGTTATTGATAATGGATAGTTATGATGAGATGAAACTAGAGAATATTGAGAAAAATTTATATATAAACAATAAAATCTATTAGAAATGGTCGGACCCACTTGTTATTTTTACAACGAGAAGTGAAATTTTTAGAACAAGCAATTATGCTCTTTGGTTTGCCCCTGATTAAAAGGAACAATTAAAAGGAAATAGAACTTCAAAAATTTAATCCTGAAATAGATGTTTGAATACCTGAAAAAGTTTACATTATAAAGTATTAAGATGCTGATTTTTGAAATATATGAATGGTAAACATAAATTTCAAAAAAAGTAGCCTTAGATATCAATATGTTTGAAAACTGTTGGAAAAGCCTTTAGTAATAATGTTTGACTTTGGATGTAATAAAGACCAAAAGTGAGACTCCTTTGAAATTAAAAGAAATAGAGAATATTTAATCATTTTTGATGCAAGACGAATTAATTAGCTTAAAAAGTAACGAAGCTTTAAGAAGTCTAAGTCTAAAACTATAAAAATTGTGGAGTGTTGAAAAATATAAAAAAATGATGGAACAGATAAATTTACATAAACTGGTGGAAACACCATATATGATGGAAATCATAGTATAAGTGTTGCCTGAAATGATGATGAAGGCTACTGAGATCATAAAATTAAAATTAACTTTTTTAGAAAATTTCCCAAACATGATTAAAGAGTTTTACCAAAGTAGCTATTAGATTAAAATGTATTAATAGCAAAAGAAAAAGTATATTGTACATGAAAATAATGAAAAGGAATCAGAGGTTACAGTCACTGATGTTGAAAACTTAAATAAAATTAACTATTATGAAATTGCTGTTCAAGTTTGGAATAAAATGGAAGAAAACTCAGTTAATATTCAATTTTTTAGCTTTTAAGAACGTAATGATCTTAAAAGCAAGCTCTTTAGAATATTAGATCACAATCTTGAACAATTAAATAATGCATTTGAAAAAATTATAATTCAGAAAGAAAGAATAATTGAAGTAGTTTGTAATGCATTATATGAACTCAATCTTACAAGTTTTGACTTTTATGATGAATTTATTAATTAATATCATTATCAATAAATAGACAAGTAGAGAAATTTGGGAAAATAAATTCAGATTGATCGGTTTTTACATGATATAAAAAAATATTCAACCAAACTTGCTAAAGTAATGAGTACAAAATAAACGACATAAGTTTAATATTAATAATAAGGATTTCTGTATTAAGAAAAAAAAGAGGAGCAGGAGTGGTAAAATGAATTTTTTGACGATGATGATCATTAGTTTGGTTCATATAAAAAGGATTTAAGGAGTTGCTCACTAATTTAATAGAAAGGGGTCAGTTTTTAATTTGTTCACAAGTCAATTCAAGAGTTCTATATAGCTGCTGATTTACATGCTCTATTAGTGTTATCTAAGGATCTTAAAAAGTAGACATTCAATTGGATAATAGAATAGCTATCAAAAGAGAACAATTATGATGAAAATTGGTTAGAATATTCATCAAACTAAATGATTTAAGAGAACTAAATAAAGTTTCATAGTTCAGTTAGACAATAGAAAGATGCTTTTAAAAAAGATATTGAATCAACTCTGAATATTTTGAGAATTTTGAGTAAACATGAATTTTTCGTAGAAAATTATTCCACTGAAACATACGCAGAAGCTAGAAAGTACTTGATTGAAAAGATAAAAAAAGAAACATTGATAATTGAGTTTTTGAAATTCCTAGTGAATTTAACTAAAATAGATGAAAGCTTTATTTAATCAGGATCAAACTCACTTAATTTATTAGTTGAGATGTAAGTGGATCTAACTAGTCACAATTTTGAGAAAATAAGAATCAAAAATACTTCCATAATTGGTGGCAATTTTGCTAATTGTAATTTAAGCTTATCTGAATTTACTGATGTGAATATTAATGGAATTAATCTTAATGGAGCATTCATGTTTTGGTGCAAATGGAACAATCTTAAAATTAATGATCTACATTCATTAGATGGTCATTCTAAAATGGTTAATTCAGTCAACTTCTCTCCTGATGGTGCTATATTAGCATC